ATGACCATTGGCTAGGCAAAGATTCTTGGGTAGACAGAAAATGTATGAGCTATGAAAGAAAACAATTGATAAACAGGACTTTCATTCTGAAACTAAAAAACCTCTGCTGTTTTACAGACACTATTAGAGGGCTGGTGGAGTGGCTCAAGTGGTAGAGTGTCCATCTAGCAAGTGTGAGGTCCTGAGTTCAAACCTCCAGTATCACAAAAAAAAGATGAATTTAAAGACATCATTAGGAAAATGAAAAGATTAGCTACAAGTTGGGAGAAATATATTGAAAACACATATCTAATAAAGAACTTACATTCGGAGTAAGTGTATATATATAAGCATATATATATATATATATATATATATATATATATGTTTGTATATGTATACAAACCCTTACAACTCAACAGTAAGAAAATTAATAAGCAAATTAAAACATGTACCAAAGGGCTGAGGTATGGCTTAAGTGGTAAAATGCTTACCTAGAATACACAAGACCCTGGGTTCAGTTCCCAGAACTGTTTTAAAAAATGGGCAAAAAGGAAAAAATAACTTACTAAGGAAAAAATACACAAGGCAAATATGTACCTGAAAGATAACTAACACTAGAGAAATGCAAATTAAAGCCATTACACAGTTATTAGAATGGCAAAGTAAAAATAAAAAAGACAGTAACAAGTACAGTCTGAAGAGACAGAGCAAGTGTAAGCAAAGATTATTGGCAGAGATGAAAGATGATATAGCCTCTTCAGGAGACTAAAGTCAGCTAAGTTCTAGCTAAGCTTAGAATTATTATCAGGTTATTTCTATGCCTATAGTCACCAAAAAGACCTGAAGACATGTCCTTAGAGTGACTTCTATGTGAATATTTTCAGAAGTGTTATTCACAATCATCCCAAGGTGAAATAACCCGAATGCCCAACGATTGGTGGGTGAATAAAACAATTCTAGTGATATGAGGGAATAGTCTTAACCCTAAAAAAAAAGGACTGACCAGTGTACCAGTACTGATGGATCTCAAAAGTATTAGGTTAAGTGAAAGAAGGCAGACATAAAAGTCTACATACCATCTGACTTGATTTATGTAACGTTCTGAAAATGCAAAGTGATATGAACAGAAATTGGATCAGTGGTTATTAGGGACTGGACAGTGAGTAGAGTGAATTGATTACAAAGGAACACAAAATTTTGGAGGTTGATGGAAATACTTTATGTGATAATTCTGGGGGTGGTGTCTATGTGTCAGTAAGTATTCATCAAAACTCATCTAACTGTTCATCTAAGTATTTTACTATATAAAAGTTATACTTCAACAAACTTAACCTTTAAAAACCCAACAGTATAGTAAACAACTATGGATATTTCTGCCTGCCCCTGGGCAGATGATGTTTCTTTATCACATACCAAGACTCTAAAAGAAGGAGGATGATGGCGACCATGTACACCTGCCTATTTTTGTCCCTCACCTTCCTTTGGCTGCTAGTGATAGAGCACACACACACTCCCTTTCTGCCTCTAGATCACGGTGACCTCAGCCTCTTTCACAATTGTTGACTCCAAGATCTCTGCAAATTCATTTTCAAGGTCTTATGGTCACCTTCTGTGGCTTCCCTGGTCACCCTGGATAAAGAGGTCACCTCCAAGTACTAGCATTAAACTATATTATTTTTTCCTCAAAGCTCTTCACACTATTTGAAATTCTTATGTGTTTGCATCTGTTACCAATGTCTCTCCATGAGAAGGTTTGTCTATATTTTTAACCTTCTATAATAGTGCCTGGCATAGTAGACACACCATTAAGATGGGATGAGTATGCATAGTCTTCTTAAATTATACTAGACGTCTTTAAGGAACTATTTTCCTTTTGAGAGTCTGCAAACATAGGCACACAAATAAATGTTTATTACACACGACACTTTCACTAGCCCCTCTTATGACATGGATTTCATAGCCATTCTTCACTTGTAGTTTATTGGGAAGAACACTAAAAGGAGCGTCAAGAGTCCTACACTCTAGCCTTGATCCTGCCACTAACTGCAAAACACTTTTGAGGCCAATAATTTCATTTATGGAAATCTAAAATCTATCTCAAGGGAAAAAAACTGGACACATGCAAAAACATGTACACACTGGGATGTCATCCTCCAGTGTACTTATGACAGCAAAAATAGGACAATGGGACCTTGGCTGAATATATTCGTATATCCATCAAAGTCACACTATGAATTCATTTGAAATTGATGGGATGTAGTAGTCTCCACTTATACAAGGTTTTGCTTTCTATGGTTTCCATTACCCATGGTATGAAAATATTAAATGGAAAATTCTAGAAATACTGTCTACATTTTGAGTTGTGTACCATTCTTAAGTTGTGAGGAATCTCACAGCTGTCCAACTCTCTGAATCATCTCTCTGACCAAAGTTTCCATGCTTGATATGCTACCCACCCATTAGTTATTCAGGAGCCATCTCAGTTATCAGAGCCACCGTCAAAGTATTGTATCTGAGTAATTCTTTTTTCCCCAAGTACAAGAGCACTGGTGGTGGAAATTCACAAATGCCAGAGAGAAGCCATAAAGTATCACTTAAAATGAAAATACAATCAGATACTTGGAGAGGCCACATTCATGTAATTTTTTATTACAGCATATTATTATAATTATCCTATTTTATTATTATCATTAATTTTGATGGTACTGGGGTTTGAATTCAGGGACTCATAGCTGCTAGGCAAGTGCTCTACCACTTGAGCCACTCTGCCAGCCCTAAAACTTCTGTTTTGATGGGGAAGAAAAAACAAATAAGTATACTAAAATAAAATTGTTTGGGTTGACGACAAATGCTATGAAGGATGCATAATACATAGAGAAGGGTTTGGGCTCATCCTCCAAAAGAATGAGCAACATGATTCTATGTTTTATAGAGAGGCCAGAAAAAAATCTCACTGAGATCACATTTGATAAGAGATCTGACCTGAATGAAGTGAAAAAGTAAGGCAAACACAATGGCCCCAAGGCAGGAGAGGCTTGGTAATTCTGAGGGAAAGAAAGTCAGGGAAGCTGGAGGAAAATAAGCATGGAAGAAACAGTGGGAAATACTATCTGAGAGGCAGCAAAGGCTGGATTTTGTAGGGCCTTCAAGAGGCCATGGTGAGGATATTAAATTTTATTCTAAATGTCACAGAAAGCCTTGGAGCATTTTGAATAGAGGAATGGGAGGATTGGTCTATATTTTAAGACAGTGGTAAGCAGACTAACAAAGGATAAAAGTGGGAGTAAAGAAACCAGTTGGGAGGCTATTTCAGAATTCTAGGTGACGGAGAATGATGACATGGACAGGGATTGTAGCTGTGAGAATGGTGAAAATTAGTCACATTTGAAATTTTATTTATTTTCAAATAGAACTATTACAAAAGGCTGGTGTGGCAGTTTCAGTGGAGTATTGGGAGAAAAAGGAGGAAAAAGTGAAATGTAACTAGGTAAAGATGTCTAATACAGGGCTGATGATGTAGCTCAGTGGTAGAACCCTCGCCTAGCATGCATAAGGCACTGGGTTCAGTCCCGAGCACCATACAAAAAAATTAAGGACCTTCACAGAGTTGTCTAGTATGTTGGATGCACAGGGTCTGCAGTGTAAGGAGAATGTATTCCAGGGCCTGCATGGTATCACCTGCATGGCATCTCCTGGATGATGGGCAAACCAAAGGATTAAATGTGCCAAAGGCTTTTGACAGATGGAGAAAAATAAGGACTGGAAATGACCACTGGTGTAGGACATATTGGTGTCAATGGTTGGGAGAAAAGCCTGATTAGAGAATGCTCAGACGTAGATGAGTTATTAATGTATGCTAGTTCCAAAATAAAATTAAAAAATTATGATCTTGAAGCGAAAGTGGATGGATTTCTTCAACACCAACAAAAAAAATGTATGGAGAAAACTAAAATTGGGAAGGAGCCTATAGGTTAAATGACATATCAGCTAGTCAAAAGGGTGGGTCTTCTTTGGAACCTGAGACAACCAGAATCCAGAAGTTGGTATAATTGTTGGTGATATGAAAGAAGTATTAATTTATTTTTAAATGAGACAATGATTCTATGGGCATATGAAAACAAAAGAAAAATGAAATGAAATGACATCTATGGGTAGATAATTGTTGAAGTTGGGTGATGAGTTTGGTGTACTTCTGCTTTAATCTTTTAGATTTCTCCATAATAAATTTAAAAAAATCAAAGAATCTTATTTTTAAAGAGGTGAAACGGAGAACCTTCGTCAGAGTAACAAACTTACCTTTTATGTGCAACATGTTTTTTTTTAAAAACTCCCACGAATTTGGAAATTTGTGCCACTTCTTGTGAAGATAACCTTCAAAAGAAACATTTACATCTCCCCAGCACCTCCCCCCCACAGATGAAAGGCACATTTACACCCGATTTTTTTTCACTTGGTAAAAAATCTGTGTATTACAATAAACATCTTTGAATTCCTACATGACAATAAAAGTGAATGGAGATTCAGAATATATTATTGATTCCTAATCATGGTCACAAATATTTCCAGATTTAAAAAAATCTAAATTGCATATAGAGTCCAATCTCATTTTTAAAACATTATTATTGATAGTGGGTTTCCTGTCGATATAATTTTTAAAAATTGCCTGCTTATCTGTACTTTCTAATTTTTTACATAGGGCAATTGGCAATGTTTTACATACGGCCTTGCTTAATTTTAAGGACTAAATTTAAAGGGGGAGGGGAGAGAACTACCAGATATTACTTTTCTTCACAGAAAGCACAAAAAAACACCCTGTAGACCTGGCATGCTTCTTCCCGGCCAAATGCACACCTATTGCTTGGGATGCTGACAGGGTGGCGAAAGGAGGAAATGCGCAGGCGCAGTTTGTCTAAGGCGGGACTAGAGCCTCGGTTAATGGACAGCCTTTGCAGCCAATCAACGGATAGCGCCATGGGCTTCTTCCTGAGGAGACCGGAAGTTGGATTTCGGCTGCAGAGGCTAAAGTCGCTTTGGAGTAAACGGATAGTTGTGGTGAGTAGGCGTCGACTGCGAGGGTTCTCAGCCTGTGTGCATTTCTTTTTCCTGAGCCCGCGGCTTCCTCTGCTGGGGGCCGGGAGGCCTGGCAAGGCTCGGCCTCTGCTGTGCTCCGCCTGCCTCTCCTGTCCCTCGGCTCTCCGTCGCCCTGGCTGGACGAGGTCGGGGCTCCCTCCCTCCTTGGGGACCTCGAGCCAGACTGGAGGTTAGAAACCACAAGTCCCTTCCCCACGCCGCAGATGTCCTGAGCTGTGAGGCCTTGGCTAGTCATTTGCCCTCTCTGGCCGTTTGTAAAATGAGATTAAACCTTCGCTGCCCCGCCTCCTGGGCGTACTGGTGAAATCCCCGGGACTAATGGGGGGCGGGGCGTGGGGGGCAGGCGGAGATGGAGTCCAGACCTGATGGTCACCCTTATTTGGGAAAGTTTTTAGAACGACATCCCGAGGGATCCCATTCTTAGTTTCCAAAATTAATCAAATCTTGAGGGGATCCCAGGATTCCTATCTTTTGGTGACACCCCCACTTCCAGTGAAGCAAGTGCTGGAAGTTGAGTCTGAGGACCGGCTGCCATGCGCCGTGCTGGCTCTGCTTAGGTCGACCTCCGTGGGTCTTAAAAGGTGATGGGGGAACCTGCTCTGTCCCATGTCGTCAAGTCCGTGGGATCCAAATTTCTAAAAAGGAGTTGAGAATAGGACTTAACTCTCAGAGGTGTTAGGAAGGTGGTGTAAGAGGTGTAACTCGGTGCTGCCCGTCCGGTGCTTGGCCTTGGGAGAGTGGCACCTTCACTGACAGGCATGGCGAAGGGAAGTGTGAACCTCGGCTGTCTAAGGTTTTTATTTCGAAGTACCAGTTAGTGTTAATGGCGTGCTGTGGTTATAAAGCCTAACCCCTATCTCCCACAGATCCTTACTTTGATTTGATTCGAGGAAGGTCACTAGTCAAATATGCCTAACCAAGTTGTCCTAACCAAGGCCTCAAATTATTCCTGTGGGTTTCTTTTTTCTTCTTTGCATGTTTATTTGTGGATCAGTTTGTCTATTTATGTATGGGGAGGCAATTCCTACAGGAAAAGAGGGTTCTTTAGTTTTCTACTGCTGTGTAGGAAAACACCACAAATTGAGCAGTTTAACAAAAGTATCCAGTTATTTCCATGAGTTAGTAACCTGGTTATGGATTAGCTGGATTCTCTGATCATTTCACTAGGTTGAAATCAGAATTTTGATCAAGACTGAGGTCTCTGATGAGGTCCTGGGCTCGATTCTAAGATCATGTGGTTGTACACAGAATTCATTGTGTCTTGCAGTTGTTGAACTCGGGGTTGCTGTCTTTAAGACCAGAGGACTATGTCTGCCTCTGTCTGGTGTCTTTTTTTTTTTTTTCTCCAATTACTGTAAATTGTACAGAGGGCTTTTATTGTGACATTTCCATACATGCATGTAATGTACTTCAACCAAATTCACCGCCTCTGTTACTTTCTTAACCCCCTCCCTTCTCTTTCCATTTAACAGATTTTAGTGAGTTTCCCTATTATATATATTATATACTTCATCCATATTCACCCCCTTCACCCTGTAGGAAAACAGTCTTGTTATAGGAATACACAGTAAACTATTGGGAGTAAACATGAGAAATCAATAAAGCAAATGAAAGAACATGTTAACATTTGGAAGTGTTCTTAGTATATTCATGCAACTTTTCTGTAAATATGAATTTTTGTTAAAGTTTGAAAAAGTTGTGACTATTTTGCAACTTAAACAAGAAAGGTCGAAACAACTGAAATACATTACTGTCTGTGAACAAGTGGAGAGGCAGTAATGTAAACTGAGGAGTGGCCAGTGAAATAGGAGGAAAACATGGGTATTGGAGTCACAGAAATGGAGAGAAGAGGGGAGTATATTGAGAAGGAAGAAAAATCTACTAAGAGATGAAGATAGAAAAATATCCTTTAGATTTGGTTGTGTGGTGGTCATTCTCAAAGACTTTGATGAGCACTTTTACTAGAGTGGGAGTGGATTGAAGCCAGACTGGAGAATGAAAAACTGAATACAGAGGCTGGTAAAGTGATGAATGATGAGTTGGTATGGTCACAGTAACTCAAGATTGTCCATGCCTACTGCCCCCTTGAATCTCAGCTTCATCCTGTGTACCACTGAGGGGTGGTAGAAATTCAGAGCTGCTGCAGAGCTCACTCAGATTTCACTCAGTGCTTCACAGATTCCAAGCACAATGTTGCCCTGCTTGATGTTGGCGGGCGCTGTATCTTGAAAGTGATAAGGTTATTTTTGAAAGAGCACTTGGAATCTTCTCACTGGATGATATGCCTACACTTAAAGTTGAGTAAATAGAGGTTATTATTGTGGCCAGAGAAGTTACTGGGCTTGAATTTGGGTTTGGAATTTCTGTAGAAAAGTTACCATGTCCGTATAAAACTTTATATTACACTAAGGTATGGAATTGGGTCATCATTTCCTCCAGAAGAGTCTGAAATTTACCAATGTTGGTTTTTGTCACAATGTTTATTAGAATTATAAGTGTTTGCTTCTGGAGAACTATAATAGCAAATGTCTGATATAAAATTAGGAGACAGCATATGTAGTTTGGCTATGAAAAAAGAGAAGAGGATTGGAGATGTGGCTCAAGTGAAAGAGTACCTGCTTTGCAAGTGTGAAGCCCTGAGTTCAAATCCCAGTCTCACCAAACAAACAAACAAACGAAGAGTAGAGAAATGGGACATAACTGGGGAGGAGTACAGGATCCATATTTTCCTTAGAGATAAAAAGATGAAATCACATACTCTTTAATGCCGATAAAGATATTAGGGAGATAGGAGAAATATATGGGCAGCTAAATATGTTTAACTAGAAAAAGAATGGTAGCCTTTCTCTGCTGTAAATGTTAATTTTAGAAACTAAGGAGATCATCTTGTCCTGGCCCCCAAACTGTCAGAAGGAATAGGAAAATATTCTCTCTGTAGTCACTAACTGGGATGAGTTTGTTTTGTAGCTCTACTCTGAGTCTTTGGTCTGTTTCTGTAGGTTCTTGATCTTCCACAATGGGTGAACCACAACAAGTGAGTGCACTTCCACCACCTCCAATGCAGTACATCAAGGAATATACAGATGAAAATATTCAGGAAGGCTTAGCTCCCAAGCCTCCCCCTCCAATTAAAGACAGTTATATGATGTTTGGCAACCAGTTCCAATGTGATGATCTTATCATCCGCCCTTTGGAAAGTCAGGGCATTGAGCGGCTTCATCCCATGCAGTTTGATCACAAGAAAGAACTGAGAAAACTCAATATGTCTATCCTTATTAATTTCTTGGACCTTTTAGATATCCTGATAAGGAGCCCTGGAAGTATAAAACGAGAAGAGAAGCTAGAGGATCTTAAGCTGCTTTTTGTACATGTGCATCATCTTATAAATGAATACCGACCTCACCAAGCAAGAGAGACCTTGAGAGTCATGATGGAGGTCCAGAAACGTCAACGACTTGAAACAGCTGAGAGGTTTCAGAAGCACCTGGAGCGAGTCATTGAGATGATTCAGAATTGCTTGGCTTCTTTGCCTGATGATCTGCCTCATTCAGAAGCTGGGATGAGAGTGAAAACTGAACCAATGGATGCTGATGATAGCAACAATTGTACTGGGCAAAGTGAGCAACAAAGAGAGACTTCGGGTCCCAGGAGGGACCAGATAATAGAGAAAGATGCTGCTTTATGTGTCCTAATTGATGAAATGAATGAAAGACCATGAGGAACGTTGTATGGTTTCTTTTTTTTTTTAAACTATTGATAAATAATACCATACATTAGCTTATTTTCTTTTGGATAGTCTTAAATGGTTTGGCTAATAATATAATGTAATTTTTGTCCTTGACTCCAGCTTTTCAATTTGGAGATGTCATAGACCGTAATTTCACTGTAAAATAAACAGGCAAATTGAACATACCTACACTAAGCGTAAATGCCTTAAATAGCAAAGTGTTTGCTATTGTGTGGGATATTCCTAGTTTTGGAGTTGAAATTAAACTTTGAAGCAGTAATAGCTGTCATCTTTGAGAAAAGTAAATTTGTCATTTGCTTTAAGAATGATAGCTAAAGGATATCAACATGTATAAATGTGAAATTAGGAAATCTTCAGACTTATTAAAAACCTTATTTTTTCTCATGATTGTTCTTGTACACTCACTGTCTCAGCATCTATCTCCCTGTCCTGGAGATAGAGATTCCTGTCTTGAATTCCTTAAGTTTTTTTTTTTTTTTTCTCAAGTCACTCAGGTAATAAGTCCTTTTAGCCACTTTAGTTCCAGCATTCGTTTTAGTAATTAAGTCTGTGTATGTAACTACACATTTTCTTTAAGTCTGAGCTTAGGCTTGCTTAAGGCTGGAAACCTGCAAGGGAACAGAATTTGGTGGCAGAGACTACTAGATATCTATAACAAAGATCTTTTGCTTCCTCGTGAGATATGTTGCTGGCCAGCAGGGACCCCAGTTCCCTGTTGGGGATGATGCATCCGTGTGAGGCCATATGACTAAATTCTGGACAGTGGATTGTGAGTATAGGAATCCAAATCTGCCCTATTAAAATTTCCTGCATAATCTCATTTTATTCTCCTAGCTGTTGGTTAGAGAGCACACCCAGGATAGCTTGGAAGCCACTTGAAGATGGTAAAGGTTTGTTTTTCGTCCTTGAATGACTGTGAGGACTAGGTCTTCCAATTCCACTTCTTTCCCAGCTACTTTGACTTTATTTGAGCAAGAAATAAACTTGTTTTGAATACTGAGATTTTTATTTCTGCACTTTCTTGTTTCCTATCCAACCCCTCTTCCATCAAGATCTCAAAGAGGTAGCTTTGTATCTGAGGACCCTGCCTGCCATTCTCTTAATGTATGCCAGTGGTTGTCAAAATGTGGTCCTGGATCCACGCCATTAACATGTCTTGGGGACTTGCTAGAAATGAAAAACTTCTGGTTCTACTCCAGACCTTCTGAACCAGAAACTCTAGAGGTAGCATCCAGAAAGTTGTGTTTTAACAAGCCTTCCATGTGATTCTGATGTAAGCTCAGGATTAAGAACCTCTGATAGAGGTAATGGCTTTTCTCAGATCTCTACCTTTGATCCTTCTCTCAGGCCCTGGTTTCTAGCAAAGGGTCTGCTCTAAGGTCTTATTGGCTGTGGAGCTTGCAAAGTTCAGTTTCAAATGGCTACAAGCCAGTTCTATGAGAAATGTACATCCTTGGGCTTCACAAATCTTGGAGGTGCAGACTTTTCCCAAGTAGACACCCCTTTTATCAGACAGGCAACTAGCTGACCAGTCTCAACCTTTCTTCTGGTATGTGTTTGGTACAGACCGTTGGGCTCTAAAGATCACAGAGGGCACAGTGTAGGGTCCCTTAAGCTATCCCCTCTCCCTTCCCACCCCACCACACCATGAGCAACTGCTTTTAAGCAGCAATTGAGCAACTCTCCAAAGAAAATTTTGTATTTCCTTCTTATAACCTCGGGGAAGGGGTTGGAGTGAGGTACAAAGCCAGTTTGGGCTACTTCTAAAATCTTTACATGTAAGAAATGGAGTCATGTAGCATCAAGTCACAGCGGTTAGCTATATTAAGAGGACTGGAGTTAGGTTGCCATGGGAAAGTGTTATCTTTTATTTAGATGTCTGGAGGATCTGATCTTGTAGTGAGTGGGAACTGACTTTTTTTTGGTGATACTGGGCTTCACTTGCTAGGCAGATGCTCTACTGCTTGAGCCCTTTTTCTGGGTATTTTGTAGATAGCGTCTTACTGTTTTTGTGTATTTGTTTTGTTTTGGGTTTTTTTTGCCCAGGTCAGCCTGGACCATCATCCTCATATTTTACACTTCCCACCTTTGCTGGAGTGACAGATGGGTGCCACCACTCCCAACTTTTTTTCCATTGAGATGGGGTCTCACACTTTTTTTTGCTCAGGCTGGCCTGGAATCAGGATCCTCCTGATCTCAGCTTCCCATGTAGCAACAGGTGTGCACCACATCTCTGACATGAACTCACTATTCCGGTAGAATGACGAAGCATTGGTGGTCTGGCAGCTGTCAAAAGCTTTTAAAAGCTTCCATATCTTTTGTATGAAAGTGACACAATGAAATCCACTATTTTGTATAATTAATATACACTAATAAAAAAGAAAAAGACCTTTCAATCTTGTAAGGATTAAAATGCATCTGCCAGAACCTACTTATAATGAATATTCCTGAAAACTCAGCCAAGTAAAATGACTGGAAGGGAGAATTACCTGAGTCATTCTTGAAATGGCCAATGTGCAAATTTTAGCACTTTTGGTTTCATTTTCTGGACTGGGACTCTGACATTGGTTCTAAGAAATCTGCAAGTGATTCTATTAGTATTAGTATTGCACTAATCAATGCTGGATTATTGGTGACAAAAACCCTACTTGAACTACTTTGAAGGTGAGAGATGAATTTGTTGAAAAGGATATGGTGTATTACCTGATTGAAGGATAACTTGAGTATCCAACCTATGAGGACAGAAAGGGTGTGGATGGAGTTAGTCCATCCCGAGGCCCTCCTTGTTAGCTTCACTCTCTTCACAGCCCAACTTTAATGGTGTAGGTGGAGAAAATGACTGCAGCCAGTTAAGTATAGAATGCTCAATTTGCAGTGGGGCTGTGTACTGAAAAACCCACTGTAAATTGAAAATACAGTAAGTCAAAAATGTATTTAATTCACCTAATCTACTCAACAGCATAGCCTGGCTTATTTTAAACTCACAGAATATTGACATTTGCCTACAGCTGGACATTGAAAGAGGGAATCATATCGTGTCTTGCTAGTCTGGAAAAGATAAAGATTCAAAGTACAGTTTCAACTGAATGTTTATTGCTTTCACTCCATCAAGTTGACTCGTAAGTTGAACCACTTTTTTTAAAAAGGTTGATCCCTTTTAAGTCATGAACTGTGTTTATCACTGCCTGTGGATTGCCTCTCAAATACAAGCTAAAAGAAAAAAAATAAGCAGAAGGGAGGCTAATTAACCAGCTCTACATGAGGAATTAGGGGATGCATACCTGATTTCAACTGGGCCACTCATTTGGGACCTGGATACTGTAAGAATCTGATAATCCCTATTAACTGTCCATGTTTGGGAGAAGTAGTCCATCCCTCAGAAGAGGGAAGACACCGAGCTGACAATCCTGTAGACATCCACTGCAAAATAAGCACATGTAAATAGCAAAAACATTGTATGAACATCTGTATGAGAGTAGTTTACCCCTGATGATCCATTTACCCACTGTATTCATTTGATGAATACTTCTTGTGGTCCCTATGCCTGACACTAGATAAGTGTTGGGTGAGTGGGGAGGGGAAGGAAAATGAGAAGTAATAAGACTGAGTTAACTTTTGAAGTGATGAGTTTGTGTCTCAATCACTCAGCCATCATGACACCCCCAGAAGAATCTTGTTATGTTCCTGTGGCCTACTCAAACACCTTGTCTACATCATCTTTTTCCAAGGTATGTTTAAAAGTTCACATTTGTTAATGTCTACTTGTGCGGTAATTCAGAGAGAAGGCCTGTGCTTGGCCCTGAAGTCACTCAACATCAAGTGCAAATGTCTTAAGGAGGAAATAAGAAGTGGGCATAATTTGGATGAGAAAGGCTATTATTATGGCTGCAATCTTGTGAGGGAGGAGGTAGAACTGGAGATGCAGATGAAGCAGATAGAAGGAGGTGCATGAAATTTAGAAAACCAAGAGAAAGTTCAGTTCTTTTCCTAAATTGGAAAATCAATCACGTTATATACCTAAGGTCGTTAGTCACTTCATCCTCAAATCACCTTAATGAAATTGCTATTTTACACTCGTATTATAGGTGAGGAAGTGGAGGCTCAGGAGTTGCAATTGATTTTAACTCTAAAGACCACATGTGTGCTTTACATGGTACTGGACTGAAGGAGGAACAGATTTGTAGTTGGAAAGCATGAAGTCCCTTTCAACATATTAAGCCGCTGTGTGTTGACTTAGATTTCTGTGAGTATCTTAAGGAGATGTTGTACTTACAGCTCTAATCTTCCTAAAACCCTTTTTAGTAGTGTCCTTATGAGAAATGAAAACTGAGGATTAAAGTTTGTGGTTTGCTTGGGTTGAATCTAGATCAGGGATGGTCTCCTCTTGTCCTCTCCGTCTCTGGCCGGGAACTCTTCATAGTAAATATTTTAAATATTGAGGACTATACAGTCTCTGTTGCAACTACTTGGTTATTATGGCTTGAAAACAGCCATAGACAATAGGTAAACAAGTGGCACTATGTTCCATCCAATATGACTGAATATATGGATGGACACTGAAATTTAAATTTCAATAATTTTTACATTTTAAAAAATACTCTTGTTTTCTTTCACCATTTAAACATATAAAATCATTCTCACCTTTGGGAGTTAGACATCAATAATAGACTGGATTTGGCTGGTAGGCCATGATCTACATGGCTGGATTCTAAACCCTGGAGTGTGACTGAAAAGATGCTAATATATACCACAGAAATAAAAATGATAGAATTCTTCATAGGATTGGTCTAAGGATTGAATGACATAATGGCTAAAAAGTGCTAACAAGTACTTAAAGACATATCTAAGGTCAACTAATGTCCTTCCTACTCTCTTTTTGAAAGTTTTTGTTTTTGTTTTTGTTTTTTTGGGGGGGAGGATGTGTGGCTCAAGTGGTAGAGCACTTGCCTTTTAAGCACAAGGTCTTGAGTTCAAACACCAGTACCTACAAAAAAGAAAAAAACACATTTCTTAAAAATTTATTTTTAATTGAAAATCAAATATTTATGGGGTACAATGTGAAGTTTTGGTACAAGTATACTGTACCAAGTGTTTTGTCTTTTGCATACATTTAATATTAAAAACTTAAGAACTGGCTTCAAAGTGCAATGCAATACAAATACCAGAAGGTGGCACTGTTGGCTCAGGTTTAAAAGCAGTAGATGAGCAGGGGACTAAACTGAAGGTAACCAAAGACAGGGCTAATGACACCGTAACT